CCAGGCCCGGCGAGTGCTTGGGGGCTGCGGAGACCCGCGCGCGGATTAAGTGGCAGGAAGTCATCTGCGGCTGCTTGGTCCCCCCCCAACCCCCGGTGGGGGAGGGACGGGTGTGGTTCTGTAAATACCGGCGGGCCGGATTGAGGACCCTGGGGGGCTGTAGTTTGAGAACCCCTGATTTAGAGGGTAAAAATGTGCAAGGCCACATCTACACCTATGTCTGGAGATGGCTCTGGAAAGCTGCAGTGTGGGTTTGAGAGAGAATTTTTTTTTCCTCCTACAAAGTATAACAGGCTGTGTTGGTTGGGAGCCCTTAAACTTTAGTCTACCTAAATACCTGTTTTGGCTTAGGTGAAATTCATCATCTGAGCTTGTCATGTCTGTCTGATACATGGAGAGAAATGGGCACTGAACAGGTCTAATTCCTTAAACATGCTGGTTTCAACACTTCACCTCCACTCTAGTGGTAGTGGGATCTGGAGTGACACACTGCATACAGTGGTACTGTAAATACTTAAAGCAAAATGGCATAGGTACAGCTGACAGAGTAACTGCTCCCCAAAATGGGATGGGATAAAGGTGGGAAAACAGAAAGGAGGCTTCAAGTCTCCCACTTCATTCAGACAACTTACATGTGTCTGGCCTGAGTGAGAAATGGATTCCCAGGAATATTCCAAAGGGGAGTTTGTGTCCATCAGTGCAGTTAGTGTTCAGAGCTGAAGACACTTTCAGTCAAGCTCTTCTGTGGTTTTGGGTCCCTTGGATCCCATGTACAAGGATCTTTCCTGAGCTGGAGCATCTTACCTACCCACCCCTGAAAGCAGGGTTTGAATCACAGCAAGATGCCCAGTTCTTGCAGTAGCAACAATCCTGATTAATGTGTCAAATCTGTTTAATGAATGAACAGATGAGTGCTTCACCTCTGATAGCCAGTTACTTCAGTGATAAGTTTAAGTGTCTTTGCACTGATTTTGAAGTCTGGGGCACCAGAGTGGAAATAGGCTTGTGTCCTCACACCCCTGATAGAAGTGTGATAGAGCAGACACTAAGCCTTAATATTGACTCCTGCCCTGGGCTTTCCCTAGGCTGTCCCTGTTCTACAGTGAAACTGCTTGAATGCAGGAGCCAACATGTTGGCTTTATAGCATGTTTGCTAAGAATCAGATACTTCTAAATGAAAAATCTTTGAGCTGGATGAAGTGAAAGAGAACCTTCTTGCCCATCACTCCAGTTGGACCAGCTTTCTCCAGAGCTATTGTTCTCCTTTCCTACTTTATTATAACATTTGGAAAATAAACCCTAGACAGACTGTTCAGCACAACCATCAGGACAGTCTGACATAAGCATTTAATGTTAAAACTGTTCAAGAAACTAACTATATAAGTGGCCAAGCATTTGCTGTAGTTGTATCCCAGATGTGTTAGATGTACTTAGCACACACTGCTCTGCATGCATTTCTAAATCAATGCAAGTATAGTGGAGACTAGTCCCCTTTAATAGTCAAGTTGTACAGGGAAGTTTCTGTGTAGTGCTGTATCTCGAGACCTATTTGTCTGTGTTCTTTCCTTTCACTTCTAAGGCTTTTGCCAGTGGGTCACCCTCAGGATATGAAGCTGTTGTCCTGGTGGCTACAGCCAAGTGATGGGTGTGCAGAGCTACCAAATGTGGCTTGCTCTTGAGTTTTGTGCTCATACCTCTCATGGCAACATGTGAGCACCAAAGGGCAGCAGCTCTGAAATGCAGAGGGCTGTAGGAAAAGGGTCTAGGTAAGGTAAGTGTCGTTTGCCCTTTAGTGAACATGTGTAGAGGAGTGCAGCCAACTGTGTGCTGTTGCTAGAAGTCCAGAAAAGTTGTCTGTCTTCTGGGGGTTATGTGATGGCTCATGATGTTTTTGCTGAGCACCAGCAGCCAGGTCCTGCTGGGCCCTTGGTGTTTTGCCTGGCTATTAAAGAGCATTTGTATTGCATCTCCATTGCCTTTGCCAGCAGGGACAAGCTAAACTCTGGACTCACCTGAGTTCTGTTTGCTACCCCCATCCCAAACAGGTGGATACAAGTGAGGGACCAGGTACCAGAGCATACCTGACTGTGTCCCTTTTCTATCTGTTTATTTTGCCTTCTTTCCTCTCCTAGCTGGCCAGAACTGGAGCTTTGGGGTCAAGATAGCAAAGGAACAGCCACTGCAGCTTGGCCTGGGTGGGAACACTTGGATCTGGTGTCTGAATGAATTTCTGAACTGTGGTTGTTAATCTGTGCAAAAGCACTCCCAAACCAGGGGTATCCTTCAGTCAGGTCTGCAGAGGTGCTGTGACAACACAAATCCTTGAGCTCATCCAGGAGGAAGGAGCTCTTTAGCTTTTTGGTGTGCTCTGAGGTGCATTGCCATTTGTCTGTCTCTAGTAAAATTAGGTCTGTGATAGTTTGTATCATGTCACCTTTCCTGTGAGCTTCAGTGCCTGGCCATCAGTATAAATAACTGGCTCTCATTTCAACTGTTGGTTCAGTTATCCTTAACTTAAGGTCTGGCCTTAAACCAGCTTCTGATGCATCACCTCAAGGATTCATTGGCGCCAGAATCCAGGCGTGCTCAGCTCTGACTGCTGTTGTGGTTATGTTTTTCAGGACTATCTTACTGAGTGTAATCTCCTTGCTTAATGAGCCTAACACATTCTCTCCTGCCAATGTGGATGCATCGGTCATGTTCAGGAAATGGAGGGACAGTAAAGGAAAAGACAAGGAGTATGCTGAAATCATTAGGTAAGTTTTGCCATGTGTGATGCTACTAGTTCTCTGCTCTGAATCCTCCAAAATGGGCTATTTGCAGAATTTGCTGAAACCACATTCTAACTGTGGTTGCTACTTTGAAGGACCTACAGGGACTAGAAACCAGGACTTAAAGATCACAAATTTTAATTTCCAAAGTGCCACAAACTCCTAGAACAGAAGGACAAGGCTGATCTGTCTTCAAATTGGTCTTTTCAGAGTAATCTGGCATGATGCTCTGCAAAGTCTATTGGCTGCTAGTAAATCCCAGTCGAAGTCACTGCTATGCCTTTGAGCACCCCCTGCCTTGCCTGGGATGTGATTCAAAGTGACTGCATCCCACTAATTCTGTACATAATGCATTCATGAATCATAATCTTGTCCCTTCAGTTCGAAGGAGTATCAGCAGGATTTGGCAAGCACTGTGAATCTGGGTTTGATTAGCTTGAAGCACGGCACAGTCTTGACTGGCCTCTGCTCAGAAGCTGATAGCTTATGGGGGGTTTTGGAAGGAAGGAAAACTTCATCTTGTGTGGCTGTGGAAGCACAGACAAGTGGCCCTTAATGCAGCAGGTCATGCTTGCCTGGCAAAAGACCACATCTGTGCTGGTGCAGCTGTTGGACATGCAGGTAGCTGTTGGTTGTTGGCCTGGTTGTGCAAGGAGCCTCCTTGGGAGATTATCTTAGTCTCCTCAAGCTGCATCGGCTTCAGCAGAGCTGGGGTTGCTGCATAAACCAGAGTATTGCAGCCTGTTCCTGAAGAGCAGGTGCAGGGGGTGATGGGATGGGCTGCTAGCTGCTTACTTGCTGCTGGCAGCCAGGCATGTGAGAGGAGTGGCTCATAACCCTGCTGCTGCCCTGAGACAACAGGAGCCCCCCCCATGTCTTGCTGGCCACAGCTGTGTCCAGGGGGCAACCATGGGCTCCTGGGGCATAGAGGTGCTGAATGATGGTGGGGAACTCCACTCTGAGCAGAGCAGGGTAGTTGTCAGGGGTGAGGAAGGCTGTTTGTTAGAGCATCTCCAAAGCTGCCTCAGGTAACTCATCTTGGGGAAGCACCTGAGCACCCCTTCTGTGGCGAGCAGCTGGTGTGAGGGAAGAGGCTCTGGGCTATGGCAGGCCTAACACAGAGCCCTGTGGAGTTGGTGACTTTGTGGGCTGGAGACAGCATGTGTGCTGCCCACCCACCTAGAGCGCGCCCGAACCCAGGCCTGTGGAAACCAAACCCTGAGATCAAACTGTTCGGCAAAGTGCATGTAGCAGTTGAAGCCGCTGTCCTGGCCCTGAACTGTTGAGGGTGTTGTGTTGGGGGCGAAGTGGGGTGGGGTGGTGAGTCAAGCTGTGCCATGGCAGGAGGCAGCTGCCATCAAGCTGCCCTGTCCTCCTTCCCACAGGAAACAGGTTTTGGCAACTAAAGCTGAGGCAGAGAAGGATGGCGTGAAGGTCCCCACTACGCTGGCAGAGTACTGCATCAAAACTAAAGTGCCTTCCAATGACAACAGTTCGGATTTGCTTTATGATGACTTGTATGATGACGACATTGACGACGAAGAGGAGGAGGAGGAGGATGCTGACTGTTATGATGATGATGATTCTGGCAATGAGGAGTCGTGACCTGCTCCTGCTATGCCCCGGTACTGCTGTGTGGACTCAGGCAAGAAGGGAGCAGCGGTAACCTAGCAGCAGCCCAGCAAAAAA